TTACTGAATATTAGGACTATACATCTCTGATGTATACGTCACTTGGATTGTGATTATTTAGGAAAAGATTAAATGCATGAAATCTACATCAAAAGAAGCAAAAACCATAACTATGATGAAAAAAACAAACTGAGATACATAAAAATCAAAACAACAAAACATTTAAACTTGCTTTGTACTAAGAGGCAATAATGGCCAATTAATGAGCCACATTTAGATGACCGTTAGCAGGTATTTATGCAGCAGGACTGGACACTAATACAAACTCATTCAGCGCTAAATCCAGTTAAACAGGACTAATTTTGCTCTCTTTATAATAAATCATGCAGTTGGTCAGTGTCTACAAGTACTGTTGAAACACCATAGGATCAGAAATGAATACTGTATTGTACTGTGACGCAGTTTATCACCATAACGCTGTACGTTGCCACACTGCTGATGGGAAATTTTGAATAAATATCTCTATAGTGTGAAGATTTTTTGCTTTTCTATTATAATGTTTATATTGTTAACTCCTCACCATCCCATGTGTAACATAAATCAGTACTTCATGTGCAAAACTCAATGTGAAATCCGGGTAAAATATCCTTAGTGTATATAATTTATAATATTTTTGCTTTATATTGTTCATTTTTGTGAAGGATGGAGTTAACACTTGTATCTTATTTTTTACTTTTAGTTTTACATATTTTGTCTATACAGTAACAAGTAACAAACTGTAAAACCTTGTTAAGTAATTAATTAGGTTCATTACTTGCTGGTTAATTGCTGGTGATCTTACATGCAGGTGTCTGAGTGAACACAGTGAACTTGCATGATATCATATAAGAATGACCTTGTAAGATGGGATTGAGTGGTGCAAACTGGATGAAACCAGCTTATTAAAAAAAGAGTGTGGTATGTGGAAATAAGGGGGGGGGGTAGTAATAAAGGGGGTTTGTATCTAATGGAGACTAAATGGAACATCAAGATTGATAAGAAGGGTGGGGTGACATCATAAGACCCCAGATAAAGGGTTTAACCTTTTCAACTCCTCTGGACCACCGGTGGTTCCAAAACGCACTTCGTCATATTGTTCATAACTTTCATATTTCATAAGCTACATTCTAAAGGTGGGGGTCGTATGAGAGCTGTAACTGTCTTCTCTCCAGTCAAATAGATGGGTGATGTAATTTTAAACCCTTATAATAAAAGAAGCTGAACTCACAGTTTTTTTTCTACTGAAAGTCGACCCATTTTTCCACAAATCTGGGCTATAAACTATAAACAGATGGCGTCTCTTCAGTGATCTGCTCTGTAAACATTATTTTTATAAAATAATACAAAGAGCGTCTAAGATTTTTGGCTTTCAGCAGTAAATTATAAGCATATAGCAACATGTGTAGATCATAAAACACGTTCTGTTAATTTGAGGGGAGCTTTTACAAAAAAATAAAAAATAAATAAAATAAAAATGTACATTTATTTCATGCAGTTACTGAATAATTTGCCTTACGATTTGGTCATGTAAATTCAGATGGGCAAACCAAAATATACCCTGGTCAAACCGCTGTTCGGACACTGTATTTTGATGCAGTTTGATGCTCAAAAAAAGCCTTTTTTCCCTCTTTCTGTGAGAACTCAGCGTCTGAAGTCTTTTTTCCTTTTTGATACTTTTCAAAACTTAGAATTAAAGTAGTTATTAGTCGAAGTGTTCAGTCAGTATTAAAGATTAATATGTCCGAGGCCGCGGGCTGAAAGGGATAGCTCTTGGTCATGGCACTGCCCAGCCCTAGTCCATCACAACAAAATGATCCACCCCTACTGAAAATGATTAAGATCAGGTTGCAGGGCTGTTGGCTGAGTCAGATGGGATTATTTATTTACTCTTTTTAAATATAAAAGGTTTAGAACACAAACCTAAAGGAGAGATCCAGGAGTCTCCCAGTGCCACTCCAGCAAAATTACACTTAATGGAGCCTTTCTGAACAGCCTGAGGAGAAACACAGAGCAAAACGCATCACAGACAGAAACAGAACCACAAACCTCCTGCACGCCATTACTCACCCTCAGCGCTCCTTACTCAGAGCCCCGGGGGATTATTAGAGGAAGAGGACACTCACTGGACACTGACTGTTCCTCTTCAACTCATCATCAGCTGAGAGCATGACTGAACATGTATGTGGAAAATACCAGCACAGAAGACACGACAGCAGGCAGCAGCTTTAGGTATGTGTGTGTGTGTGTGTGTGTGTGTGTGTGTTTGTTCATGGAATAATCTTTCATGGTTATGTTGCTTAGTAACCATATCCTATCAAGAAATTAAACTGCTTGGTGGAAAAACTACTTTTTTATTATTAATATTATTATTATTATTATTATTATATTAAAAGTCATTTTTTCCTTTGGGTAGCTGTTTTTAAAGAAGAAATACTGGATCAGTATCAGCCAACGTTTCAATATTGTTACTGGAGAAGAACAAGTGGTATCATGCCATCTCTAATGAAGAACAATAAAATCGAAAATAATTTTTTTTTATTTGTTAATTATTAATTATTTTCCTGAACACCAGTGTACTGTATCGTTTTAGTTTCAGTAACTTTCTGCATTAACTGCACTAATGAATTATCCAGAATTCAACTGAAGCTGCACTATGTGAGATTTGGAGACCTCTCTGGTGGAAACGTGTAACTGCACGCAACATATGGAAGAACATTTTTTAACAGTGGGCTGTGACGTCATATTTGCCAAACGGCTTTCCATCTATTTTAAAAATATACATTTTCCACACACGTTCATAGTCATGCACTGTCAAGCTGATGATGTCCACATGTTTTATATGGCAAAAACACCCTGACTGCCAACATACAGAGGTTTAAACAACTTCCAAGCAGCCTAAGGCTGTGTTCACATTACCAGGCTGAAGAGGCACAAATCTGATCTTTTGCCCTAATGTGACTCAGATCTGATGTTTTCAGGGCTGTGTGGACACAAATCTGATCTTTTCAAATCAGACCTGAGCCACTTTCATATGTGGTGCTAGATTGGATACGTTTCCGATTCGTGGCCATGTGACCCTAAAGTGACGCTCAGATCAGAATTCATGCGTTTTTTTTCCACATCATTCAGCGTTACCATGGCAGCAGCGCCGAACAGAAGTTAAAGCCCGTAAACGGTGGAAAAGCAGCTCATCTCACCTTTTTCTCCTTCGTCTCGCTCTAATAATGAGGCTGAGAGCTGATCAGAGTTAATGATCTTCTCAGCGAAGCTCGTTCTGCTCGTTAGTTTGTGCTGATGATGAACGTGATTCATTCATGTGACGTTACTGAGTAGGATGAGCTCATGAGGGTCATTTCAGGACGCCGGGTCGTCACATTAATGACCGATTTGAATCACTTAGCTAAACAAGTTTGAACCATCAAGTCAGAGAGATCGGATTTGAGCAAAAAATCAGATTTGAGTAACGAGGCTCGTAATGTGAACGTAGCTTAAGACTTTTACAGAACTGTAATATACAGTCATATGTAAAGTTAAAACCACTAATTCCATGTTTTGTTGATTTTCTAAGTGTAAATAAGTGAATTTCTGCACATTTTAATTACTGTTTATTTGCTGAATTTAACATATTGGAAAAATTAAACATAGAATGTGGCCTGTGCAAAAGTTATGGCACTGTTTAAATTTTATGTTATTCCAATATGTCAAGCTTAACAAGTAAGCAGTAATTGTGTATTAAAATGAGTAGCTGGAACAGATTTAAGCAGTGCTACTTTAAAAAAAACTAGTACTGATGATATACACGATATGTTCAGAAAAGTATACTGTATTGTGACAAATTATCATGATAATGATTTAGTCACATCACCCAGCCCTAATGTGTAGTGTTGAACAAAGCTTATGTTTTTCCTGAGAAAAAAACTTGTTTTGCAAGCATATATATGCAAAAATTAGAATTCGCTATCCAGCTAACAAACAAAAACAAACGTTAACTAAATGTGTTACAGAACTCAGATAAAAGTCAGAACTCGTGTTGTTTCTGTAAGATCCACGACTTGTTTTTCACTTTTTTTTCCCCTCAAGTACTGTTTCAAATTAACCAATGAAAAGCCTCCATTTCACATTCTGGTGTTGTGATACGAAATGGAACATAACTAGAAAATAACCATGATTATCTTAGATAACTGCGCTCGGGCGAATGTGTGTTAAGCGTGATGGTGTAGGTGAGGTTACGTGTTTCTGTACCTCTGTGAGCGCCAGTGAAATAGCAGCAGCCATTTTTCCTCCGTAGGATTCTGAAAATATGTAGAAAGGAATGCTCTGCAGGAGAGAAGACGGCAGGTTTAATCACACTCCATAATCAATAATCACTGTTATTATGCGCTAACAGCGGCGGGCTGCATTCGGGACCTGGGGGTCTTGGTGCTGTACCTGAAACTCAGTTTGCTTGTTGAAGAACTGCTGCAGGAGCACCATCATGTCCGCCGCCACCGTGGCGACGTCCTTCGTCAGGGCTTCCTCCGAGTCAGTGTAACTGTAGCCCGTCCCCACAGGGTTGTCCACAAACAGGACGCTCGCGGCGCTCACCTGCAGCACAACATGCACACCTGTGTTAGTACACACCTGTTTTACTGTGAGAACACGCACTGACCTTAAACCTCGGGACCCAGAAGGCTCTTCGTTTTTTCCAAAAACAGCTGCGTTTCTGGTGAAAACAGCATGTTTTCTTGTGAGGAGCAGCAAAATGTTCATGTTCGTGTCCCAACAGCGAGCGAGCACTCATATGGGATGACTAGACTGGAAGCACCAAGTGGCAACAATTTAGGATAAATGTTTTATTACGACATTTCAAAGGGCAATTCCACCAATTTTTCATGCAATTTGATTTTTCATCTAATTTCTGCATGAACAAACAGTTAAGAGTAATTCAGAGTGGTTTCGTGTGAAACACTCTGTTCTAGAGAAACTTAGTTAGTTAAGTGACCCTTATTAGTCCCCAACGGGGAAATTTCACCTCCACATTTGACCCATCTGTGCAGTGAAACACCCACGTACACACTAGTGAACACACACTAGGGGGCAGTGAGCACACTTGCCCGCAGCAAGGAGCAGTTGAGGGTTAGGTGTCTTGCTCAAGGGCACTTCAGTCAAGACCTGTCGGCTCAGGGGATCGAACCGGCAACCTTCCCTAACCTCCAGCCTATGACTGCCATTCAGAATTGTTCACAGTGGTGGTGATAGGAACCAGACGTCCACCTCTAAAAGCTCCCTCACAGAAAGTTCCTACATGAAATGGTTATGAATTCACTGCCTGATGACTGAGACACTGTTTTATGATAGTTTGGAGAACTTAAACTCCATTCATGGTGGAGGGATACATGCAGGGTGCTGTGAGGCAAAATAGTCCCCAAAGAAAACTTATTATTTCAGATTTTCCACTATTTTCCATCATCAACATTCCATATAAACTCAGAAGACTCGTGCAGGTTCACTGGTGGTTCTGGATAGTAAATAAAATGTCTATATTTGTGTTGTAGTCATGGCGACCCCTGGTTCCTATCAGCACCGCTGTAAAGACATCTGAACCTTTTCACACCAAACCACTCTGAATGACTGTTTACATCTCAAGGACTGAATTATTCAGAAATTTTGAAAAAAAAAAACGGCGGAGTTCCCCTTTACGTACACATTTACAGTGTAAACTACATGAGAAAGTAAGTTACGATCAGTAGTCTAGAGCAGAAAACACTGGGTATTTGTTTAACCAACTTCGCCAAATTGTATAGTTAAACACAGCATTTCTCCTCATCCATTTTAAGGTGGAATGGCAGAGCGAACTGACTCATCAGAAACAGAAACAGAACATCGGTTAAAACACTCTGCTGCTGTAGACAGTTATTAATTATTAATAATGGGAGAGTTTTGGTTTTGTTATTGCTGCTCACTTACGATGCTTGATGTTCTGAAACAGTCTTATCGTTATGAGGAGGTTTGCTCCTGATAAAGGGCTACAGGAACAACAGGCACATGACTTAAACCATAAGACCTACCTTATATTATTATTATCATCTGACTGGCCTCTTCATTAAGTCCACCTCCTTGTTTCTACACTCACTGTCCATCTTATCAGCTCCACTGACCATCTAGTTTCACTCTATAGTCCTACAATTACAGACTGTAGTCCATCTGTTTCTCTGATACTTTGTTAGCCCCCTTTTACCCTGTTCTTCAGTGGTCAGAACCCCCATGGACCCTCACAGAGCAGGTACTATTTGGGTGGTGGATCATTCTCAGCACTGCAGTAACACTGATGTGGTGGTGGTGTGTTAGTGTGTGTTGCGCTGGTCTGAGTGGATCAGACACAGCAGTGCTGCTGGAGTTTTTAAACACCTCAGTGTCGCTGCTGGACTGAGAACCAAAAACATCCAGCCAACAGTGTCCTGTGGGCAGCGTCCTGTGACCACTGATGAAGGACTAGAGGATGACCAACACAAACTGTGCAGCAGCAGATGAGCTATCGTCTCTGACTTTACATCTACAAGGTGGACTGACAAGGTAGGAGTGTCTAATAGAGTGGACAGTGAGTGGACACAGTTTAAAAACTCCAGCAGCATCTTTTAATATTAGTCCTTTTTCCTATTTTACTACCAACTTGCATAAACCTGTTTTAAAAAGCATTTTAATGTATTTACCCAGGAGGTTTTCCTCGGCTCGAGGTCAGTGTCCAGAGGCCCAATCTCCTCAAAGTTTCCAAATCCACAGCTGGACCCTCCTGGACCCCCCTAATATTTAAAAAAACAATCCACACCAGGCTGTGATTAGAGTTACTGACACAGTGCAGGACAGCTGAGTGTAACAGAGGTCATATGCAGATTACCTGCTGAATCACTTTTACAGCCGACTCACCTGAAGCCACATGACCAGCGGCAGGTCCTTAAAGCTGTCAGCATAGTACAGCCACCAGAACATGTGGGCACCTTCACGAATGTCCACATACCCCCATTTCTCGTTCTCCTGGACTGGAAGTGACCATCCTGTGTTGAAAAAATAAGTTGTAATAAGTTCAAACAAGCTGTTTCCTGGTCTGATCCTGGAGTTTCGCTGCTCTGTTTACCTACAGAGTCTCTCTAGAGGTGAAGTGAGTTTGTCAGAGCAGGAAAACGATGAATTTCCACTGAAGGAAGGCTATAGAGATACGTTTAGTCACATTATGGTAGAGCTGAACGATTCAGAGAAAAAAATCTAGCTGTGATCTACTGAAAATTAAGTTCCAGGCCTTTTCTTCTTTGAGAAAAGCAACACATTCACTTGGACCCTATCTAAACACCTGAGGGCATTCTCTGCCACAAAATTATTTATAAATATGTATATATAAATGGAGGAAACAGGAAGTTGCAGAAGACAGGGTTGTCTGGGATTCTCTGCTCTCCCAACTGCTACCGCGACCCTACCTGGATTAAGCAGTTAAAGATGACGTATATATAAATGATTTTACATTACTATTTTTTATTTGTGTATATATGCATACTTACATTTTAGAATATAGTATTATACATAAGACAGTATAGTATTATACATTAGAATAGTATTTATATAAATACTATATAATTTATATTTATATAACATATATTTAACATATCGCTGCTGTCGGAAGAAAACCTCGTATCTCCAAAATGGTAACTTTACAGGAGAAGGAAAAAACCTACTGTACTTTTAATGGAAGTCAATGGAACCAGACTTTTTTCCAAGTCATTCTGGCCGTTTCCCTTTGGTCCATTCTTCATTAAATTTACACACAATGTAAAGAGCAACAGGCATTTTCAAATTATGTCAAAAACTGAAAAATGACAAAAATGGAGATACAAGGTTTTCTTCCGACAGCAGCGACATATATTATATATTTATAAATAATTAAATAATATATTTACATATGATCTTAAATAAAAAAACACAAACATATAGAACAAGTAATGTTTGTACATACTATTAAATTTGTTCTGATACAAAAGAACGCAATGCATTACCGTTCTACAGTCACATACAGAAAACAAGCCAAAACGGAAAACAAACCCTGTATTTTTCACGTCGCTTGAACTCCTTACTGAAAAACAACACGAGGATTTTAAAAATTAAACATGTCAGAACTGAATACGATCCGCCTGTAAGTGTAATAAAGCCACGACTGTACTGCTCTCCACTGTGCAGCACTGTAAACAAGCCTAAATCAGTGTAGTGGATCTTTTACTTTTCATTGTGTCATGTTTTCTGCATGTTACTGATGAAGTGTAATCTCGTGTGTTCACTGCATTTTACTGTTTGGGTTGTATTTCACTGAGGCAAATACATCCATCCATCCATCCATCCATTATCTAAACCGCTTATCCTTCTGGGTCGCGGTGGGGTGCTGGAGCCTATCCCAGCTGTCATTGGGAGGAAGGCAGGATACACCCTGGACAGGTCGCCAGTCCATCGCAGGGCAGACAGACAGACATACACAGTCACACACACTCACTCACACCTAGGGTCCAATTGGCCTGACTGCATGTTTTTGGACTGTGGGAGGAAACCGGAGTACCCGGAGGAAACCCACGCAGACACGGGGAGAACAGGCAGAAATGACCCTGGTCGTCTGGCCGGGAATCAAACCCAGGCCATTCTTGCTGTGAGGCGACAGCGCTACCCACTGCGCCACCGTGCCGCCCCGGCAAATACATCTGAAGTACAAAAAATGTGAAAACAGTGCAGTGGGGGTTTTACTTCTCATTTTGACATATTCTGCACATCACCTGTGGAACAGTAATGTTACGTGTAGATTGCATTTCACTGATTTCACTGTTATGATGCTTTTCAATGAGTAAAATCAGTTTAAAGTGCTGCACAGTGAGCAGGATAGTCATGCCTTCACTGAATATTAAAGTGGACCGTATTCAGTTCTGACACAAATTCAGCGTTTCTTGTTTTAAATGTGAATCCACTTGTTTTTCAGTTAAGAGGTCGAGTGGAGTGAAAACAGAGTAATAACGTTTCTGCATCTCACTGTGGAACCGTAATGTCACGCGTCACTGCATTTCACCTTTTTCCACTGTAGTAGCTGCTTTTCCATTTGGCATCAATCCTTCTACATAAACCAAGAGCTCATTACACTTTAAACAAGGTGGTTCTTCAAGGGTTCTTTAGTAAAGACCATAGATCTATACAGAACCATGAACACTTAAAGAACCATTCGCATGATTAAATGGTTCTTTGCATGGTGAACTGGTTCTTTAAATTGACGTAGAATGTGTTGCATATGGTTCTACACAGAACCTTTTTGAAAATGGTTCTGTATGGCACCAAAAAAGGATTCTGCTATTGTATACAAGCTTGACATCATAACAACAGCAGAACCCATTTTGGGGGTACACAGAACCAAATACCACACATTCTCCATCAATCTGAGGAACAATTTAAGCATGAAATGGTTCTTTGCATGGTGAACTGGTTCTTTAAATTGACAGAGAATGCGCTGTAAATGGTTCTTTATAGAACCTTTTTGAAAATGGTTCTCTATAGCACCAAAAAGGGTTTTTCTACTGTTACAAGCTTGACATCATAACAATAGTAGAACCCATTTTGGTGCTACATAGAACCAAATACAACATGTTCTCAATCAATCTGAAGAACAATTTCACCATGCAAAGAACCATTTGAGCATGAAACGGTTCTATATAGCTTTCATGGTTCCCTTTACTAAAGAACGCTTGAAGAACCATCCCTTTAAAAGTGCAGTGTTGCCCAGTTGAATACAGTTCTGACAGATTTATGCTTTTCTGTGTAGAAATGTTAATATTTTACTTTTACTGAGGGATTTTAAGAGGAAATGAATCTCCTCTTTCTTCATTTCCACTTCGGTGGTAAACATTTAGTTCCCAATTCTGTTTTTTGGATTTCTTTCTGCCGTGTTGGTACAGATTCTGAGCTGCTTCACTCTCGCTTTATTATTTCGGACCAAGAGAGACAATTACTCAGCAATTCTTTGAATCGGATATATATTTTTATTGTTTTTTGTGCTTCTTTTACTTCTAAACCTTGTTCTTCCTCGCAGTGACACACTTTTACTTTACTGATCCTCTTCAGCCTCTGACAGACTCAGATTACAGTGTTATTATAACGTGAAGCTTTAGTAAAGAAACCAGGGCTCAGATTCAGCACTGAGTTCTGTTCTCTTTCACTTTCACTTCAATATCAGCACCGAATCTATGAAGCTCCATGACCTCCAGCTTCTTATTCGAGTTTTACGTTCCACCTTAATATCAACGCACACACACACACACACACAACACACACACCTTCTTATTGGAATTTTCTGGTCCACCTTAAAAGGTCTACCTTAACACACACACACACACACACACACACACACACACACAGTTTCTTATTAGAATTTTCTGGTCCACCTTAAAAGGTCTACCTTAACACACACAGTTTCTTATTAGAGTTTTCTGGTCCACCTTAAAAGGTCTACCTTAACACACACACACAGTTTCTTAATAGAATTTTCTGGTCCACCTTAAAAGGTCTACCTTTTTGGAAAAACTGTTAGTTGAAATTAGGTGGACCATTTAAGATGGAACGGAAAATTAAAATAAGAAGCTGTGTGTGTGTGTGTGTGTGTGTGTGTGTGTAGAGTATGTGTGTGTGTGTGTGTGTGTGTTTAAGGTAGACCGGACGATTCTAATAAGAAGCTACCGATTAAAAAGTTTCGTAGGTTATATTAAGGTGAACCATTTAAGGTGGACCGGAAAATTCGAATAAGAAGCTGCGAAAGGTGAACTAATTTGGGTGTGAAGCTGAATCTGAAGGTAAAATGACTCTGAAGTCTGTTTTCCAGTCTGAACGACTCCGAAAGGCGGAGATGGTCAGGCGACTCGGCTGAAGCGGAGCGTTTAAAGGTTCGGCCTCATATTCTCTGTGTTTTCTTACCTCCGCCAATGCAGACCGCGAACAGCGCAGCAGCTGCCCATGTGTGAGTCCAGCTCGGGGCCATTGTCCCAGTCTCGCGCCCTGCCTCGCGCCGCAGCGGATCAGACCATGCAGATGGAAACATCATCACATGACCTCAGTCAGCTGACACACACACACACACACACACAGCAGGAGGAAGTGCGACGTCACGGTGAGTCTCCACAAAAACGTGTCTCAGCGCGCTGCTCTGTCGCTTAACGACCCCCACATTAATTACAATAGTGTTTAAATATGTGTTTTGCATGTATTACGTCACACCTGTTCACAATCTTTAACTGTTTAAGCTATAAACGTTTACATTTTTATGCAAATTTATGATTTTTTAAATTATTCTTACACATCTGAGCGCTGCAGCTACAACCCCTGTGTTTATACACCACGCTTTAAAACTATGGTTCTTTAGCAAAGGGAGTGGTTCTGTTTAGAACCATCCCTGCTGAATAAGAAAAAAAAACATGGAAACCATTAAGTGTTTCTGGTGGTTCCTGGTGGTTTTGCAATGTGTTTTGGCTTTTCTTAATGGGTTGATATCACAGTGTAGAGGATCCTAACGGTTTACCAGTTGACCAATGACTGATTCTAAATGCATTTGATGGTTTCCTAGTGGGATCTAAAGGTGTTCGACAGGAAACTATAGTGGTTTCTATTGGAAACAATTAAGCCAGTTAGGTGTTAATCCTGATGGTTCTTTTTAGCAAGAATGAGTTGTAAATAGAGCCGTTATTACCACTGTATATGTATATATAAATGGAGGGAACATGGAGATGTGACCCTATCTGGATTATGTGGTTAAAGATGATGTATATATAAATGATTTTATATATATATATATATATATATATATATATATATATATATATATATATATATATATATAAATGATAAATGAATTGTACATTTCTATGTGTATATTTATTTATTTATTTATTTAACTCTAGTATTTCTACATAAATACAAATTTGTTTATATTAAATAAATATTTAACTTATATGGTATATAATTACAAGTAATTATCAAATATATTTATGAAATATATTTTTGCAATATATGAAAATGGCCCAAAATGTATTTCTTAAACGTATATTTAAAATGCATTTATTTGTATTTCTCATTACATTGTTCAAATGTATGTAATTTTAATAAAGGTTAACTGTAACTAAATATACATGAACTGAATGAACTGAGTGACGTCTCTGCTTTGCATTGTACTTTGCATTAGGAAACTCACACAAAATGTATATCAAATAAACAAGATATCAAATCGTCAAACTACATTTTCACAGTGTATCAATATCTACAACACTTGCTTTTGTCCTGTTAAAGGTCCATTTACTAACATTTACAATTAAAACGCTGGAGTTCAAATTCATTTCACTTGACCACTTGACCGACCAGTCCATCAGACGTCTTGTGGACGTCGCTGGTCACAAAACTGCTTCCATTCCATACGGGATCTTGCCAGTCTCCTCCACAAGGTTCCCATGGTGTTTCGTATCTCGTCTTCCCATCTTATTGGAGGCCTTCCGAGTGGTCACGCGGATACCACTCGGCAACTGCGCGGGTCCACCGGTGGTCGGTGAACCGTGCGACATGGCCAGCTCATCTGAGCTTGGCCTGCCGGTATTCTGCGATCACGTCTTTCACGCCGCTTCTACGTCTGATCTCCTCGTTCCGGATGTGGTCTCGCAATGTGATTCCCAGCACTGATCGTTCCATGGCCCTCTGCGACGTTAGTAGTCGTTGTTCTTCCCTCTTCGTGGTGGCCCAAGTCTCACTTGCGTATAGCAATGTACTTCATAAATACATTTACATACGTGTATTTTTCTATAGTACATTTCTCTGTGTTATATTACCCCATACATTTTAACATAAGTGCATTTTAAAATATATTTACTAATATTATTAACATGGCAGTATATTCTAAAATGCATGTTTGTGTTTGGAATGTATTTGGGCCAGGATTGCAATTTATTTGAAATGTAAATTTAAAAGTGATGGAGCAGCAGCGGTGAAGTGACGGTCACTAATGAAAGTGGCTGTGAAGTGGCCGCTCAGAGGCGGTCACTAATAAAAGTGGCCTCGAAGTGGCTGCAAAGTGACCGTGATGTAGCTGCTCAATAAAATGAATGTATTGAATACATCTTCTTCAACTGTATTCATTCTAAGAATTTTTGGTATGATGCAACGAAGGATATTGGACAGAAAATGAGCATTTCTATTAAGAATAGATATATTTGATATTTAATTTTATTATAAAGACTCCAATAAGGACATTTGCTACTTGCTTAATCTGTTCATTCTACTTTATCCATAAAATGAAATTTACAAAGAGAATCCCATCTTACAGTGCATTTAAAGATGACAATGTCATTATTATTTTTTGTATTATTCTTTATTTCCTTTATTTAAACTTTTCACTTCTCATTGGGAACTATCGTTATACTGAAACCCTGTCTCTGATAATTACTTGTTCCTCTAGCAATAAAATAAAACATAAAAAAAGTAGCCCATCAATGGCGGCCGCTAATAAAAGTGGCCGCTTACTGCTGCCACAAGAGCAGCCACTTCCAAGAGACCCAACTCCTACTGGGACATACCAGAGCCGGTTTATGAAGAGCCTGGCCAGTTTCTGCCCCGACATTGTATCAAAAACAGGAACCAGAACTTTCCTTTAGTTTAGACAGTTGAAGGATGGATTTCACTAAAAAACAAAGAAATCTCACCTGTATGTTTCCTTTATTCTACAGCAAACGGGTTTAGGGCAGCAGGAGGCGGGCTTTACTGCTAGAGCGTGATGACTGATTGGCGAGCGGAGCAGCTCATTGGCTGTTCGCGCTCACTGACGTCATGAATGTACGTGAGGCGCCGTTTAAACTCCTATAACTCAAGTTTAAAAGCTCTTAAATATATAACAGCAGTGTTAAAATGTTTTATGCTGCTCTGTTCAGGAAATCAATGAATTCTTTTACATTAATAAACTATGATCTTGTAAAAAATACTTCACTGTTAGAAAGGAAAAACTGTGCGTGTGTGTGTGTGAAAAGGGGAACAGTAGCCGCCGTTCTCCTCCAGGCCGGTAGGGGGAGTGTGGTGATTAAGCTGCACGGGCTGCTCCTTCTCTCTCCGGCAGGCATGGCGGGCAGCAGCGCGGTGAGGCTCCGGCTCCGGTTCGACTATCCTCCTCCCTCCGGGCCGCAGTGCCGCATGAGCTGGATCCTGCTGGATCAGAACCGCTGCAGGGTTATAGCGGACCTGTGCAGTGAGATCCGGGAGAGGTTCGGCTACAGCCGCAGAACCGAGCTGGACCTGTTCATAGAGGAGAGCTACCTGCCCCCGGCTGAGAGCATCTACCTGATCCGGGACAACGACAGCATCAGGTAACGGTGCAGGAACCACAGCGGGGTCAGAACACAACAGCGCAGCTTTGCCTGCTGACAGGGTTCTTTACGTGGTGAAAGGGTTCTTTACGTGGTGAAAGGTTCTTCAGACTGATGGTGAACGTGTTGTATGTGGTTCTATACAGCACCAAAAAGGGTTCTACTATTTTTTATGATGTCAAGCTTGTGACTGAAGAAGAACCCACACAAATGTTATAAACGGTCCTGAGAAAAATAGAAAATGTGGGAAATGGTCCTTTTAAAGGGGAACTTCACCAAGTTTTTCAAAATTCCTCCATAATGCAGTCTGTGAGATGTAATCAGAGTGATTCAGAGTGGTTTGGTGTGAAATGGTTCAGATGTCTTTACAGTGGTGGTGATACGAACCAGGGGTCGCCATGGCTACAACACAAATATAGACATTTTATTTACTATCCAGAACCACCAGTGAACCTACACGAGTCTTCTGAGTTTATATGGAATGTTGATGATGGAAAATAGTGGAAAATCTGAAATAATAAGTTTGTTTGGGGACTATTTTGCCTCACAGCGCCCTGCATGTATCCCTCCACCATGAATGGATTAAAATAAATTGATTACAGTACAGTTTTAGGCCAAAACCTATCACAAAATGATAATAATGATAATAATAATAATATCTTTATTTTTAGAGCACTTTTCATAGCAGTGGCAGCTCACAGTGCTCTACAGACAGGAGAGAATGTTTACGGTAATGGACGACACGATGACGGGTCAGTTTAAAGAGAGAAACACCACGAGCCGTAGAGTTTAATGAGCGCTGAGTTAAAGAGCTGCGTTTTCAGGTGTTTATTAAAAGTGAGCTCTGAGCTCGACTGTCTAATAAAAGCTGAACTGAGCTCCACAGTTTAGAAGCAGAATAACTGAAAGAGTCTCTCCACGTTTTCTGTGTTTTACTGAAGGAGTTCAGAAGGTCAGAATCTGCAGATCTGAGATCATAAACAGACGGTCAGGAGCTTTAAGGTCATTTAGAGATTTAAAAACCAGCAGCAGAGCTTTAAACTCTCTCTAACAGATCCAGGCGGTCAGTGCAGTGTGTACCGGGGTGATATGAGCTCTGTGTTGGTGCTGTGAGGATCCGTTCTGCTGCGTTCTGTACAGGTTCTAGAGGATGGACTGTTTTCTCCAGTGAGAAGATCATTACAGTGATCAACTCTGCTGAACAAACGCAGCAAGTTTCTCAGCGTCGCTCTGAGAGAGAAAAGACTGAACTTTAGTAAAAGTTCATAAACAGTGTCTCAGACATCAGGCAGTGTATTTATAACCTTTTACATGTAATAACGTAATTTTCTTAGTTCTGAACTGCACTAAATCATATATAAACAATATAAAATGATAACAGTAAAACAGTTAAAATGAATGAAGTGATTCTAAAGAGCTGTGAAGCAGCCGATCATGTGAACAACACGCAGATCTTCAGTCCGATGGCCACAGCTGCCCAGCATAACACCAAAAATAACCGCTCTGTGCTTTAATTCCTACTCTGTGTTTAAATGGTGAATAAATGACGTTTGGTGAAGTTACTCACAGTGAGCCTGATGACCACGACTGACCTGTTACTTCAGGAGAGGATAATGCGTTTGTGAACAGACGTTGTCGAATATTCAGTGTCAGTTTCGCCTTAACGGGTCAAATGGTTCCAGTTTTCTGCAGAAGAGGTATAACATGTTTGTCCTTCTTTTCAGGGTGAAGGTTTCCAGCCCCTCCTGTCTGAGTGTGCAGACTGCAGGGAAGAAGAGGAGCAGAGAGGATGAGGAGCAGCTGCTGGAGGACGACGTGGCTGTAGGACCAAAGAAGAGCAGAAGTGAGCCAAGCCAAGTAAACGGTTTCAACCAACCAGAGGAGACCAAGAAGAAGAAGAAGAAGAAGAAGAAAAAGAAGGTAGAGAAAAAGGCTGAGGCTGCTGTGGAACCCATCACACCCGCTAAAGAACCCGCCTCCTCCAAGACCAAACCGGAGAAAAGCAGCAAAAAAGCGTCGGGTTCTTCTGTGTCTGCCAACGGCAAAGCATCGCAAACGAGTAGGAAACATGATGACACATCAGACTCTTCAGACAGCAGCGCTCAGAAACCCCCACCACCCAAACCTAAACCCAAGCCCAAGCAGGCTGTAGCAGCTAAAGCGAAGGAAAGCACTTCTTCAGAAGGTTCTTCGTCTTCTGAAGATGCTGCACCTACAAAGCCGAACGTGACTGTCAAACCAGCTCCCGTTACACCAAAACCCACCTCCACAAACTCTAAACCGTCAGCCAAAAAGCCCCCCACACAACCGTCCTCTGATTCATCATCATCATCATCTTCACCAACACCTCCAGTTAAGAAGGTACCTCCACCCTCTGCAGTCCAGAATGGTCCAGCTGCTGCTCCGTCCACTCCGCTGGTCAAAAAGGATGAGAAGAAGCCAGAAAGCTCAGACTCGGACAGCAGCAGTGAGACGGAGCTGGTGATTAAGAAACCCAACCCGCAGGTCATGGGAATGACCCCCCGCGGGGGCGGTAGGGTCAGGGGTCGTGGAGGGGTCTGGGGCGGCTTCGGGAGGGCCAGAGGGACGCCATGGAAACAGAACTTTCACTATAACTATGACAGCGGGGAGCAGCAGAAGCAGGTCGATTCACAGACCAACAGAAGCCGGGTGATAGAGGTGGGTGGACATCCAGATGTTAACACACGAAAACTCAGTTTTCCATTATAAGAGGGAACCTTTTCTGCTCATTTTCAGTGTTTGTAGTTTTATTTTTGGGGTCTAGAACAGATTTACATACTTCAATGCTCCAAAAACACTTTGATTTTTCTTATACTCTACATCTCTATTCACCGCACATCGTCCGAAAATGCACAGCCATTGTTTTAACGGCGGGATGCACCAGCACCAGCGCTCCGAGACTCCGAGCACCGTTCAGTTCCTCTGAGTCACAGTGTGTCGCACAGCATTTTGCCATTATTACGTTAAATTAAAGCCATTTTGAGAGCACAGAGAGCGCTTTTTTACCCCTCTGACTTTCTTGATTGTATTTATTAGCCTGTAGCTCAGTGGCTAGGCTAGCAGTCAGAATTGGGTGACACCACCGTCATTGGTTATATGACGTATTTGCTTAATGCATGCTGGGTATTGTAGTGAGAGAACACTGGTTGATAAAAATTGATTCTTTAATTGCTCGATTCTTTTCATTGCCACACCTCAGTGGTGATCGTATCCAGCACATAAAGATATAATTCAACTCTGTTATAGTACAAGACACATAAACATACAATATAGAACATATACAGTAAATAAAATACAATACAATATACATTTAATGCAGGAGAATCAGTAATTTCAGTCATTTTTATCTGTGTTCTTACTAAGGCTGGAAATCTCACAGACAGACCATAATATGTGCTACTCAGAAGAGTTTAGTGACCTGATTGCAGCAGGAAAAAGCTGCTCTTAAAGCATGGTGTCCTAATTTTTAGAGATCCGCCAGAAGGATGTAATTGGGAAAGATTGTACGGCGGATCAGAGGGATCTGTAATTATTCTCTTTGCCCACTTGATTATATTTGTCACTGATTATAAATATAGTCAACTGAAGGAAATGATATTTCAGTTATCTTTGAAGCTTCACCGACAGTCCCTTTCAGTTCATTACGAGTTTGGAGATCTACATTTCCATACCAAACTGTAGTAGACTGACATGCATTAAATTAGCATAAAGTCTGATGAACTGAGAGGAGGTGCAGCGGCTAACGGACTGGTGCGGAACCAACAACCTGTCTCTGAATGTGGACAAAACTAAGGAGATGGTTGTTGACTTCCGAAGAGTGCGAGGTGTCTCCCCCCCCCACTGAACATCACTGGCTCTTCTTTGGAAATCGTCAGGAGCACCAAGTTCCTCGGTGTCCACATCTGAGAACCTCACCTGGTCCCTCAACACCAACTCCATAGCCAAGAGAGCCTAGCAGCACCTCTACTTCCTGCGGAGACTGAAGAAAGTTCATCTCCCCCTCCCATCCTCACCATGTTCTACAGGGGGACTGTGGAGAGCATCCTGAGCAGCTGCATCATCGCCTGGTTTGGGAACGGCACCACCTCTGACTGCAAGACCCTACAGCGCATAGTGAGGACGGCGGAGAAGATCATCAGGGTCTCTCTCCCCCCCATCATGGACATCTACACCACACGCTGCATCCCAAAGCCACCAGCATTGTGGACCCCATCCGTCCCTCACACTGACTTTCCTCACACACACATACACACACACACACACACACTACACTCACACTCACACACACTACACTCACACTCACACACACACACACACACACACACACACACACTCTACACTACATCTCACACCACACTCACACACACACCACACACACACACACACACACACTCTACACTCACATTCTCACACACACACACACATACTCTACACTCACATTCTCACACACACACACTCTACACTCACATTCTCACACACACACTCTACACTCACACACACACACACACACACACACACTACACTACACTCACACACACACACACACACACACACATACTCTACACTCACATTCTCACACACACACACTCTACACTCACACACACACATACACACACACACACACACACACACACACACTCTACACTCACACACACACACATACTCTACACTCACATTCTCACACACACACACTCTACACTCACATTCTCACACACACACTCTACACTCACACACACACATACACACACACACACACACACACACACACACTCTACACTCACACACACACACATACTCTACACTCACATTCTCACACACACATACTCTACACTCACATTCTCACACACACACACTCTACACTCACACACACACATACACACACACACACACACACACACACACACTCTACACTCACACACACACACATACTCTACACTCACATTCTCACACACACATACTCTACACTCACATTCTCACACACACATACTCTACACTCACATTCTCACACACACACTCTACACACACACACACACACACACACACACTACACACACACACACACACACACACACACTCTACACTCACACACTCTACACTCACACACACACACATATTCTACACTCACACACACACACTCACACACACATACTCTACACTCACACACACACACTCACACTCTACACTCACACACACACTCTACACTCTACACTCACACACACACACTCTACACTCACACACACTCTACACTCCACACTACCTCACACTCACATTCTCACACACACACTCTACACTCACACACACACTCACACACACACTCTACACTCACACACACTCTACACTCACACATACTCTACACTCACACACACACTCTACACTCTACACACACACTCTACACTCACACACACTCTACACTCACACACACACACTCTACACTCACACACACTCTACACTCACACACACACACTCTACACTCACACACACACACTCTACACTCACACACACTCTACACTCACACACACACACACTCTACACACACACACACACACACACTCTACACTCACACTCACACACACTCTACACTCACACACACACACACTCTACACACATACACACACTCTATACACACACTCACACACACACACACACACTCTACACACACACACACACACTCTATACACACACACACACACACACACATATTCTACACTCACTCACACACACACACTCTACACACACACTCCTCTTTGATGCTCTACCTGCTCTATCTGGATCATTGCTGCTAACACTCTTTACACTGTGTTTTACTGTAGTACTGCGTATCCTACCTCAGTAACTGCAGTGTTTATGTATGTTATCTGACTGCGTAACTCACAGATCACAGCATGTTAAATATCTCTGCACCTTATTCCACAACCCTACCTCCTGTCCTGAAATGAGTGCTGTGTCGGTGCTGCACTGTCCAGTCTGTTTACTGTGTCTAATCTCTGTTTATATATCGTATTTATTGTGTTGTTTCTAGTTTAATTTTTCTGCACACTCACGTCTGCACACTGCTCTTTGTTCCACGTTGCACCGTGTTGTTCCTGGAGGAACGTAATTTCACTCCACTATGTACTCGTACACAGATGGAATGACAAAAACCTCTTGCCTTGATGAGGCTGAGGGTCATAATGCTGAGCTATGGGATTCTGCATAACACAATAAATAACATCATGTAATACATGAAGCTCTGGTTCCAGGTTTAGATGCCCTGTTAACTCTTTCTACTTTAATAGAAGTGTTTAATGAGCTTTTGTAATTCTCCTTCTGTGTTTTCTGCAGAATCCTCCGGAGCCGGAGCCCAGCGGGACTACAGCGCTCTGCCTCTGCTCGCAGCTCCGCCTGCAGCGGGACAGAAAATCGCTTTCAAGGTGCGTCTGAGAGAGAAAACGCAGAACCGCTGAGCTGGGATTCGTTTCGGTTCATTGCTTTCTTAATTTAATGCCTGTGTTGAGTAAAATAGGCCATTATTTTGTTTAATTACAGAGAGTTTATAGCTTTAATCAGTCACACTGTTCTTTTAATGATGATTGTTTTGTTCCAGCTGCTGGAGCTCACAGAGAACTACAGTCCAGAAGTGTCTGATTATAAAGTAAGTTTTTCAGCTTTTCAGAAAATTCTTCACTGTAAGTCGTGGTGTTTACAGGAGAATTTGATGTTTTTCTCTGTTTCCTGCAGGAAGGGAAGATTATTGGTTTTAATCACGCCACTAACATGATTGAGCTGGAACTTCTCACTCAATCTCAAGGTAAATCCTGGATTTCTGAACTGATGGGAAGTGCAGAAGTGTTACTGGTGGCATCCTCTGACAGTGCCACGTTTAAAGTCTCTGATCTCTTCAGTACGACTCATTCTACTGCCAGTGTGTGCCTATGGAGACTGCAAGGCTATGTACTTGATTTTATACACCTGTTAGCAGTGAGTGTGGCTGAATCAGCTAATTAGAAGGGGTGTCCACATACTTTTGGCCATGTAAAGTATCTCAGGAAGAATTTCAATCATTATATCACCCACTACTAGTGTCTCTACTTGAAATACTGACGCTACAGATTTTACAGTGAACAGTTTTTGCTGCTGCACGTCTCCAGCGTGAAATAATCACACTGCTGCTTTCAGTTAAGCTCCATCTAGTGGCGCACATGTACGCATCACCCTGTAATGTGTGTGCGCATCAGAAATTGCTTCACGTTGCTATTGACAATACTGATACTGTACTTTTTTACAAAATGCAGTCTTAGAGACCAGAGAGGTTCAGAGTGGTTTGGTGTGAAATGGTTCAGATGTCTTTACAGTGGTGGTGATAGGAACCAGGGGTCGCCATGACTACAACACAAATATAGACATTTTATTTACTATCCAGAACCACCAGTGAACCTACACGAGTCTTCTGAGTTTATATGGAATTTTGATGATGGGAAATAGTGGAAAATCTGAAATAATAAGTTTTTCTTTGGGGACTATTTTGCCTCACAGCACCCTGCATATTTTGTATCCCTCCACTATGAATGGATTTTGAGGCCTAAACTTCTGAGAAGTATCATAAAACAGTGTCTCAGTCATCAGGCTGTGAATTCATAACCATTTCATGTAGTAACTTTCTGTGAGGGAGCTTTTAGAGGTGGACGTCTGGTTCCTCAGCAGATGATCTCAGTAACCTTTGTGTGTCTCCAGCCCGAGGGGAGCCCGGGAAGTTTGATCTGGTTTATCAGAATCCGGATGGTTCAGAGAGCGTGGAGTACGCCGTCACAGTCGGATCTCAGGTAACACACACACATACAGGTCAAATCTCAACACACACACTCCGTCTCCTCTGTCCAGATGCTGAAATTTGGCTTATTTGTATTACCATACAAGTGCACTCTGTACTGCAGTTTATCAGCCCACCTCTACGCCATTCAGAAGAAAAGGGACCACCATAGGACCACTGCTGTCTGTTTGTTCTTATTCAACATTATTCAACATTAAATGTGAAAAAAGTCGTTGTATTTAAATGTCACTCTTCTGTTTTGCTGGAGAATTTGCTTTAATTTTACGCAAACCTCAAAAAACTGATTACCTAATATAAACTAATATCATTATGATGCATATCGTGCCATAAACCGTGAAGTACTATGACATTATGTTAGAGCCCTGTAGTCCATATTTATGTTATAGTAATGAGTCCTGAATGAAAAGCCCCTCAGCTGTGCAGCGTGGAGGCCTCGCACGGCCTGTACGCTCTGTTGTTGTGGTGTTGTAGCGTTTCACTGTGTTCAGCATTTACTCGACGGTTAGAAGCCCAAACATTGTGCTGGCAAAGCTCCAAACTCAGCTTTTGTCGCTCATCTTTCTGTATTGATCCCCCCCAGCCTCCATTAGAGCTTTAGGGTGGTCCTCTTTATGGATGGAGGTAAAGCCTGCAGGTCTTTGTGAAACGGCTGTGGGTGCTGCCGTCCACTCGCGCTGTAAAATACATTCTGACAGCGTGAATCTGAGCCGATCATCTGCCCAGACTTTAGACTTTTACTGACCTGTTACTCCCTCAGCTCTGCACTGTCCATAAGTCTCCACTTCACTGTAGTTTTCTGCTTTATCGTTTTTAGTTATGTTCTCAGTCATATGCAAAAGTTTAATACCACATTTTTCTGCAAATTTTAGTGACCGTTTCTTGTTTGTTGAGTTTAAAATATTGATGGAGGAACAAAATATAAAATGTGATATGACTTTTGCACAGGCCACATTTTTATTTTTTATTTTTCCCCCAATATGTTACGTTTTTTACATAATTTTCTTAGTTTTTTTGCCAAAAATAATCTTGTTACATTAACTTCCATTACACTCTTAGCAAAAAGGTTCTACATAGCACCAAAAAAGGGTTCTTTGGCTTGTAACAATAGTGGAACACCTTTAGTGCTATATAGAACCATTTTCAAAAAGAGTTCAGTCTGAAGAACACTTTCATGATGCAAAGAATTATTTAACCATGCAGAGGGTTCTTTGATCATAGTTCTATATAGAACCATGTTCTTTACTAAAGAACCCTTGAAGAACCATCTTTTTGAAGAGTGTAGGTTATAATGTTTTTTTTTCTTTCTTTTAGTGGTGTAATACAGGCAACACAGTTGTCTGTATACAAAAACATCTCAAAAATAATGTTTTCCAAAAAAAAAATCAGCTCATACTTAATACAGTGAACATAATAACTCTGGTAAACACGTTTTATTAGATGATTAGAGATTTTTGCAAACTGAATTCAAAAACACAATTAGTTTTCCTAACCACAGATTTTGTTTTGTATGGAAGGTAATTTATTTGTTTGTTTTTCCCCAAATATGTATTTTTAACATAATTTTCTTAGTTTTTAAAAAAATAAAAAACAAGCTTGTTGCATTAACTCTCATCACAAGGTTAAGATGTTTTTCCTCCTGCTATAAAGCTGCCATTCTTTAAAATATTGAAAAGTAATGCACCAATGACATTATGGTTCCACAGTGAGATACAGAATATGAGCCAAAATAAAAACAAACCCTCTGTTACACTGTTTTCACTCCACTCATCGTCAGTAAATGAGGATTTGCCTTTTAAAAATAAAATGCTGATTTAATGTCAGAACTGAAATTAATCTGCCTGCAGGTGTAATAATGACTGTACCGCTCTCCACTGTGCAGCACTGTAAACACGGTTAAATCAGTGTAGTGGATCTTTTGCATTTCATTTTAGTTGCATTTCAATGAGACAAAGTACATTTGAAGTACAAAAAGAAAAGTGAAAACAGTGCAGTGGGGGTTTTACTTTGCATTTTCTCGCATATTCTGCACGTCACCTGTGGAACAGTAATGTTATGTGTGGATTGCATTTCACTGGTTTCACTGTTATGATGCTTTTCAATGCGTAAAATCAGTTTAAAGTGCTGCACAGTGGGAAGCAGTAAGTGTGCCTTCGTTACATTTAAAGGCAGATTGTATTCAGTTCTGACACGAAATCAGCATTTCTGGTTTTGAATGTAAATCCTCATGTGTTGTTTTTCAGTTAAACAGGTCGAGTAAAGAAACTGTAATAGAGGGTTTCTTTTTCATTTTGGCTCATATTCTGCATCTCACTGTGGAATAATAATGTCATGTTTGCGTTATATTTTTCTATTTTCTACTGTAGTGGCTGCTTTTCAACATTTTAATGAAATGGCAACTTTATAGCAGGAGGAAAAAACATTATAACCTAGTAAAGGAAGTCAATATAACAAGACTGTTTTTTGGCAAATAACTAAGAAAATAATGTAAAAATATAACATATGGGGAGAAAATACAGACAAATTTCCCTCTGTACAAAACAAAATCTGTAGTTAATTAGTAAAATTTTAATTCAGTATGCAAAAATCCCGATATAACCGTTTTAACCTGACAAAAAGTGCTTACCAGTGTTAGTATATTCACTGTATTCAGTAGGTGCTGATTTTTTTTTTTTTGGCCAAAATATCAATTTTGAGCTTTTTTTGTATACAGACAGCTGTATTGTCTGTATTACACCGCAGTGTCAGTAGTTCCTCCGCTGATCTTCATGTATCAGTTCATTCTGACTCAGAGCTAAATATTGAAATAGAATCTGACCCACTGAATGGATTCCTGATTACCGGTAGCTGAATGGTTGTGATGTCAGAAAGTGGGCGTGTTATAACGCTGTGTGTGATGTCTGTGCAGCTGACGGAGCGGTGGGACTCGCTGCTGGAGCCGCGGCTCATAGTGGAGAACACCGGCTGAGAGATGGCAGAAGAACCAGGATTTACCTTTTAGAGCAGTTTTTGTTTTTAAGTGACACTTTTGTGTTGTTGCATTTTTAAAAAGTACTGTGAATAAATGAATAAATATTTTTGATATATAAAACTGACCCAGTTCTTCTTTTTATTATTATTGTAATTATTACTACTGTGGTGTGTGTGTGTTTGTGTGTGTTTGTGTGTGTGTGTGGAAAATCTGAAATAATAAGTTTTCTTTGGGGACTATTTTCGCCTTAGAACGCCCTACATGTATCCCTCCACCATAAATGTTTTTTTTTTATTATATTTTAGGCCAGAATCTATCGTAAAACAGAAACTATCGTAAAACAGTGTCTCAGTCATCAGGCAGTGAATTCATAACCATTTCATGTAGTAACTTTCTGTGAGGGAGCTTTTAGAGGTGGACGTCTGGTTCCTATCACCACCACTGTGAACAGCTCTGACTCGGTAAGTTTATCTAGAACAGAGTTTCACACCAAACCACTCTGAACCACTCTGAACCGCTCTGAATGACTCTGTTTACATCTTAACCACTTACTTATGCAGAGAATTCTCATCATTCTTTAAAACATTTTGCTTATACTGGAGCATCTTTGCAGTTCAGGTGGAGTTCGCGTGTTCACGGAACGTCACGAGGTGACGTCATTTTGTGGGCGTGCGTCGGGCCATCGTCTCCTCCTGTAGCGGAGAGCGGCGCCGCTTGCGTCACTGCTGAGCTCATCAAGTCCTGTTGATGTCGTTGTTCAGTGATGAGAGTGCAAGTGGTCGTAGGCAAGCGACGGTGGATTCGATTCAGCTTAGCGAACCGATTCATTTGAACTGTCCGTTTCAGTGAACCAAACTTTTGGTTCTATGACTCACTGATTCCTAAGCAGAGTCAACAAATTCAGTTCATACTGAGTGATCGAATCAAGACGTAAGTATGATATATATATATATATACAATAACGAGTCAAGTCTACTTTACTCTTCATGCTCGATTCAATTCTCCATATACAACATTTGAGTCAGTGAGTCAAATGCACAAAGCGCAAATGCTGATTCAAGGAAGTTGCTCTTAATGTGATATTTTCTGATTTTTGATGTTAATGTGGAATCAGAGCACGCTTAGTCTTATTTAGTTCTAAAAGAGGTGCTTTCCTCATGGTAGTGTTGGGTCATTGTTCCTAGCGTTTCTTGGACTTTTATTTTGAAGGGCTAGGCGAGGCTCTGTTGTAGCAGAGCTAGAGCCAGCTAACATTAAGAGCCATGAGCTAGCCTGAGAACTGTTTTCCCCTTTCGGTAAACTGTATTCTGAGTTAAGTCGAGTAAAAGCTGAGTTAAGGACCACAATCTCAAATCCTCCAGATTTCTAGCAAGAACATACCACATCACAATGGTGTCAGAAGTTGGATTCATCCTCTCTCAACATCATTAGAATCCTTTGTAAATAGTTTTATAAATGTTACATTTATGTAAAACCTTTTTTACACAAGTTTTCTATTGAGGATATAAACATTGGCTTCGTCCAAAATTGTATACTGCCAACACAGTACGTAGAACACTCCACTATATGTAATATATTTATTAGTATAGCATATATAGTATGCATAGCACATTATAATATGTGATGGGGTGGGAAATATGATGATATTTAATTCTTATCAAGATAAATAATGTGTCAATATGCTTTTCTGAGCATATTGTTGACTTTCTCAGTACTTAAAGAGCACCAACTACAGGTTTCATTACAAAGTGAGCATAATTAGTGATGTTGAATTGGATTTAGTGCAGTGCAATTAGTAAAATACTGAATAAAAAAATTTCACATTTCAGATTTAATATTATTATTATCATAGAATTTTTATATGTGGCACTATAGGTCCTATTTTGTCTTTTCCAACTTATTAAATCTCAGATAAACTAAATTTCATTATCCATATCGTGTATCGTTAAAATCCTGATATCGTGATATAATTTTTTTGCCATATCGCCCACCCCTAGAGACGCAAAACGAAGTTCGATTCATTTGCCTATGCGAATCGGTTCGTCCGATTCATTGAAAAGAACTGGTTCAACTGAACCGATTCGCTGACGAGTCGTCTCCAGTCCCTGTGCGTGTTTTGTCGAGTGCGTGTTGTGGATGGAGGGATGGAGCGAAGCGCGAGCTGCTGATGGTGGTGGTTCCTCTGTAGTTCTCCAGCATGGAGGCCGTTCCGGATCAGGAGCAGCTCCTGATCTTCCTCAGGAAGCTGAAGGAGGTGTTTGATGTGTGTGATGAAGATGCAGACGGGTTCATCCGCGTGGAGCATTTGGTGGATCTCGGGCTTCAGTTCGGTCGAGGAGATGAGGAGGTAAATATGTTAAAAACAGCAGGTTGATTCAGAGAAGGAGAACTCGGAGCTGCTGAGCCTCTGGCTCTGGACTGCACGCTGTGTGTTGAGTGTTCCAGTGTTTTGGAGCGAAATGAATCAAACCTGCTGCTGTTCACGGTTTTAATGACCGGTTATTTTTTAAGCTTGCAGGGTTCCACAGAGTCCTCAGCAGAAGATGGGCTTTGCTATCAGACGTGTTTCAGTGACGCTTATTAACGGCTCCGAATGAAAGTCACGGTGTTGCTACTAGTAACCATTTCTGAGCCTTCACTCTGTTTTATGGCAGTACTAGGACAGTTTAGCACTTTACGGTCTCAGAACACTTTTCTGAAGTGATGAATGTGACAAACTAGCATTATAATCATGATTATTAATGAATATGATTAATAAAGTGCCTCTGTTGAGAGGATAAGGAGGTAAAACATGTTTAAAAAGGAGAAATAAGGCTGATAGGCTCCTGTATTGAGGCTGTGTGGCCTAGATTTATGGCTGTAAACCTGCTGCTGATCACTGTTCTTATTAGCAAACCCTTCTAACTGCATCATGAAGCTACATATCTTTCAACAATATTTGTTTTTTGCTCTGTGTGTTTATTTCAGTGATGCTAATTATATAATTGTATACTATTAATGTAAATCCGTCAGACAGTGTAGCTACCAGCAACCATTTATTAGCCTTTACTGTCTGTTTTATGGTAATACTAGGACAGTTAAGCATGTTATGGTCTTAGATTGAGGCTGAAAACACTTCTGAAGTGATAAATGTGACAAACTAGCATTATAATCCTGATTATTAATGAATATGATTAATAAAGTACCTCTATTGAGAGGTTAAGGAGGTAAAACATGTTTAAAAAGGAGAAATAAGGCTGCTCGGCTCCTGTATTCAGGCTGTGTGGCCTAGATTTATGGCTGTAAACCTGCTGCGAATCACTGTTTGTAACCCTTCTGGTTGCACATATAGTCCTCAATACTACAGATACGCTATATATTATAGTATACATTACACTATTAATGTATGCCAGTGTGGAGTGTAGGATAGTTAATCACTTTATGGTCTTAGATTGAGGCTGAAAAAACTTTTCTAAAGTGAGACCACCGGTGGTTCCAAAACGCACTTCGTCATATTCTTCATAACTTTCATATTTCATAAGCTACATTCTAAAGGTGGGGGTCGTATGAGAGCTGTAACTGTCTTCTCTCCAGTCAAATAGATGGGTGATGTAATTTTAAACCCTTGTAATAAAAGAAGCCGAACTCAGTTTTTTTTTCTACTGAAAGTCGACCCATTTTTCCACAAATCTGGGCTATAAACTATAAACAGATGGCGTCTCTTCAGTGATCTGCTCTGTAAAAACTATTTTTATAAAATAATACAAAGAGCGTCTAAGATTTTTGGCTTTCAGCAGTAAATTGTAAGCATATAGCAATATGTGTATGATCATAAAACACATGCTCTGTTAATGTGAGAGGAGCTTTTACCAAATAAAAAATAAATTAATGTACATTTATTTCATGCAGTTACTGAATAATTTGCCTTATGATTTGGTCATGTACATTCAAAAGGACAAACCAGAATACACCCTGGAGAATAAGAGGTTAAAAAGGAGAAATAAAGCTGCTAGGCTTCTGTATTTGGGCTGTATGGCCTACAGAAATGACTAAACCTGCTGCTAATCACTGTTTTTAATGGCAAACCCTTCTAACTGCATTCTGAGACACATACAGTCCTCAACGATGTATGTTTTTGCTCTATGTGTTTATTTCAGTGATGCTAATTATATAATTGTATACTATAAATGTAAATCAGTCAGACAGTTTCAGCTACCAGCAACCATTTATTAGCCTTCTCTCTGTTTTACAGTAATACTGAGGCTGAGACACTTTTCTGAAGTGAAAATATTACAAATCATGACATAATGATTATTAATAAATGAGATGGGTGAAATCCTTCTGTTGAGAAAATGAGGTAAAAAAACAGCAGATATGTTCAAAAAGGAGGAATAAAGCTGTTAGTCTTCTGTATTTAGACTGTGCAGCCTAGATATGTAGCTTCAAACCTGCTGCTGATCACTGTTTTTAATGGCAAACCCTTCTAGTGGCATTATGAGGCTGCATATAGTGCTCAATACTACAGATGAGCTATATATTATAGTATATATCACATTATAAATGTATACCGGTGTGAAAGTGAAGCTACTAGCAACCATTTCATAGCCTTCACCCTGTTTTATAGCAATACTAGGACAGTTAAGCATGTTATGGTCTTAGACTGAGGCTGAGGACACTTTTCTGAAGTGATGAATGTGACCAGCATTATAATCATGATTATTAATGAATATGATTAATAAAGTACTTCTATTGAGAGGATAAGGAGGTAAAACATGTTTAAAAAGGAGAAATAAAGCTGATGGTCTCCTGTATTCAGGCTGTGTGGTCTAGATTTATGGCTGTAAACCTGCTGCTGATCACTGTTTTTAAAGGCAAAGCCTTCTAACTGCATCATGAAGCTGCATATAGTCCTCAACAGAAAAGTGGTTTTACTATGTTATATATTTAATGTGATGTTAGGTGTATTATTTTTATACAGCGATCAGCTGTAACATTAACTCCACCTCCTTGTTTCTACACTCACTGTCCACTTTATCAGCTCCACTGACCATATAGGTGCACTTTGTAGTTCTACAGTTACAGACTGTAGTCCATCTGTTTCTCTGCATACTTTGTTACCCTGTTCTTCAGTGGTCAGGACCCCCATGGACCCTCACAGAGCAGGTACTATTTGGGTGGTGGATCATTCTCAGCACTGCAGTAACACTGACGTGGTGGTGGTGTGTTAGTGTGTGTTGTGCTGGTGCGAGTGGATCAGACACAGCAGTGCTGCTGGAGTTTTTAAACACTGCGTCCACTCACTGTCCACTCTGTTAGACATTACTGCCTTGTCAGTCCACCTTGTAGATGTAAAGTCAGAGACGATAGCTCATCTGCTGCTGCATAGTTTGTGTTGGTCATCCTCTAGTCCTTCATCAGTGGTCACAGGACGCTGCCCACAGGACGCTGTTGGCTGGATATTTTTGGTTGGTGGACTATTCTCAGTCCAGCAGTGACACTGAGGTGTTTAAAAACTCCAGCAGCACTGCTGTGTCTGATCCACTCAGACCAGCACAACACACACTAACACACCACCACCACATCAGTGTTACTGTTGTAGTTTTGATTGTAGTTAGAGGGGTTTCGATTGTACTTGGAGGGGTTTCAGTTGTACTTGGAGGAGCTTTGGTTGTACTGGGAGGGGTTATGGTTGTACTGGGAGGGGTTTTGGTTGTACTGGGAGGAGTTTCGGTTGCTGAATGTATCTTAGAGAGACGGATGTGTTTACACTGCTATAATGTAGCTCAAGTGTGTCTCAACTCACCTCCTGAAGTGGTCTGAGTGATCAGATCTGTATCTGTTTAAATGCGTCTTGGCTGCGTTTACACTTGCGTTTTTATGTGGCCTCATCAAATAGAATCCTGATTAAGACACATGAGGTGACCAGTTGTAAATGGGGTCACTGACTGGGGGGGTGTGTAAGACTCTGGCAGCTGCATTCTGAATCAGCTGAAGCTGTTTAATAGTCTTTTTTGGTCCAGCTAGGAGACCATTACAGTGATCATTCCTGCTAGAAATAAAGGTGTGGATGAGTTTCTCCAGGTCTGCTTTAGTCAGAACATCTCTGATCTTCTTGATGTTCCTAAAGTGATAAAAAGCTGATTTAGTAACTGCTTTGACAGCTGTGTATAGAGTTGAATGCTGAAAAATACAGAATGCTTCATTGAGGGGGGCACAGTGGTGCTATAATAGCTATACAAATGGCTGAATAGATTTAAAGAGACGCTGGAGATGTGCACTGATACACATCCCATAATTCAGTCTGATAGAGTGATTGTGTTGGTAACTGTTTATAAGAGTCTCTAACTAACCACAGCCACTGTAGAGACTGAAGATGTACTGGGCTCTTTACTGTAATGCTGCTCTCAGTAATGTGAGCACTTCTGAGTGATGGTCTAATATCTGACACTAATGCTGATGTTATTAATATTTAATGGGAGTGCAGATGGATTTGTATGTTGTGACACATTTAGCTCATCCCTGACACCAATATTACATTTACATTAATGCTACAGATTAATCTTATTGATTTTTCAGCATTTCTGCACATTTAAGTGGTTAAGATGTAAACAGAGTCGTTCAGAGTTGTTTGGTGTGAAACGCTCTGTTCTAGAGAAACTTAGAGTCAGAACTCTTCACAGTGGTGCTGATAGGAACCAGACGTCCACCTCTAAAAGCTCCCTCACAGAAAGTCACAACACAAATGATAAGAAGAGCCATTTTGTCCTTTCAACAAAAATCAAACCACCTTGGGAGCCACAACATTTCATGTCCAGTATGTCTCAGTGTGTGATGATGTCCTAGTATAGGCTAAACAATATAAACGAGAGCGCAGATTTACTCTGCTCTGCTTTAAGCTGCAGCTACAGCCGCTTTCCTCCCATCTCCGCCAGAAACCTTTTCCTCAGAAGTAGATCAGTTAAATGTCTCTCAACTGTTTTCCGAGGCTGAAGCCGCTTCTTATTCTCCAGCTTCTTGTTCGAATTTTCCCGTTCCACCTTAAATTCTGACCGAGGCGCCGAATGTAAATGCGACACCATTTAAGGTGGAACGGGAGAATTCGAAAGAGAAGCGACTTCAGCTTTGCCACTTTTTAGTGTTTGACAGTCTCTCGTTGCAGATTTACGTATCAGGAAACCAACTGCGCTGCTTATAAATGTGAATAACGTATCGCTGCTGTGTGACCTGCAGTCTGCACGCCGTTCTGTCATTGCGAAACAGGGCTTTCGCGCTATGCTGCACACGACCCGTCTCAAAGATACTTTACTGACACAGCGATCCCCCCCGTCTCTACAACGAGACCAAAACCCTAGTTATAAAATCACTAAA